TATATAGATATTAAAAATACATAATATCTACCCTGTGATATTTTTGCACAGATTTGAATGAACTGATACTTATCAGAACTCCATAAATCAATGTCAGTAATCCTTTCCTCCCAACTCCTAAAGCTCCCCTGATAAAGGGTCCTCAGAGGTCCAGAGGACCAGGAAGGACAGACCAAGTGGAAGTTTCTACCCTTGACAATCAGTCACCTATACCTGTTCAGAATCCTGTAGATTAAAAGCACAAAGAGATGAAACCACGGTGGCTCAGAGCACAACACCGGCCTAGCTCACCGAAACACGATGTCTTCATTGTCATTACCAGCAGAACACCCCAGTGGAAATGCCTGGGACCAGAAGCAATCCAGATTTCATTTTTCCCTCAGATTTTAGAATACTTACATATAAGTGAGATATCTTGGGGAGGGGACCATGTCTAAACATAGAATTCACAGTTCATATATACCTTAGATGCATAGCCTGAGCATAATTTTATACAACATTTTAAATTTATTTTTATTTTATGTGTATGAGTGCTTTGCCTACATCTGTTTAAGTGCACCACATGTGTGCAATGCCCACAGAGACCAGAAGAGGGCTTAGCTCCCTGAAACTTGAGTTACAGGTGGCTGTGAGCTGCCATGTAGGTGCTGGGAACTGAGCCCAGGTCCTCTGCAAGAGCAACCACTGTTCTTAACCATTGAGCTGACTCTCCAGCCATTATACAATATCTTTTAAAATAATTTTGTGCATGAAGCAAAGTTCGTGTGGCAAAGACTTTGAATTTAAGAGCACTTTCAGATTTTTGGATTAAGGATGCTCAACCTGTCCTTAGTCTTATGGTTGTAATCTATCTTCTCTAGAACCATTGGTCTCTACATTGACTGTCCCTACATCACTGCTGACCCACTGATTTAAATTAATTTTTTCATTTACATGAGAAGGGGGTCTAGGGATGCATCTCAGTAAGAGCTCACTTTTATCACTTGTGAAGGAGCCAAAGTTTGATCCTCGGCACTGTAAAAGAACAATTGTTAACTTTTTTTTAATAATAAAAGAACAATTTTTAAAAATAGAGGACTGGTAAAGAGGCTTCCAGGTTGGTGATTGTAAACCAGATGGGATGACATTTAATGAGCAGAAAATAATTTGATACAACTATAGGCTTTCCTAACAAAGATGAATGATGGGCATTTCTTGATGATGTTATGTGAGAGGGACACAAAATAGTCCAAGAAAAACCAAGGAAGGAGAACTTAGTCTCTCTCTCTCCCTCTCTCTCTCTCTCTCTCTCTCTCTCTCTCTCTCTCTCTCTCTCTTTCTCTCTCATAATTCTCTC